CCCCCCCCCCCCCCCCAGCCGGTTCGGTCCGGTTTTTTAAACACTGATCAAAAGTAATATCATTTTTATCAACTGTATACATTACTTTATATCAATTATTAATAAATATTTTATACTAATCACATTATAATTTAAAAATAATGCAGTATTTTATTATTTTTTTAAAAAAATACTTATTTTTTAAGCAACATTTTTAACATACTTGTTAGTATATTTCTATTTATATTATTAAATAATTTTTCACCATTAGTTATATTTTTAGTAGATAAAATATATCAAATTTTATTTAATATTTCAATAATGATCAAAAGAATAATTATAAAATTGGTGTGTCAAATGTGAATAAATTTTCAAGTTTATTATAAATGAAAAAAAAAAGATCGACATTAATAATATGTTGACATAAAATATTTTATAAAATATAACCCTAAACTCTTATAAAGGTGTCGACCCTAGTAGCCCAGCTACCGTCGCAAACCACAAATATTAATAGGATTAATAATGTAAGTCGGACACTAGATCTGCACTGTAGGACGGTGCATCAGAAAATAATATGTGCAAAGTCAAATCCAGAGATAAAACACAACATTAGGGCAGTCTTAAGAAAATTCTTCTAAATTTTATGCGAATAATTCTCTCTTATTTTATAAATTTAAATTAGATTATTATTTTTCAATTAAAAAGTCATACTAATTAAAAATACTTAAAAATCATACATATCATAATATATAATTGGTTAATAATATGAAATAATTTTACATTATCAAATTATCGATACCTGATTATTAAACTCATAAAAATATTAGTTATTATGTTTTATTTTTTATATATGTAATTTTAAGTTACTCATATAGTCTATAGGAAACTTGCTAGTTTTAAATTTATTTCATTATCGTATATAACTATATCTGCTTATTAGAAAATTAATGTTTGATGTTATGATAAAAAGTAGGTACAAGCAAAATCTGGTACATAATTTGTAGAAAAAATTATTTGGATTTTTTAAAAGTATTTATAAATATATTCATTTTGAATAAATATTGTATTTACAATAATATATATTTTTACATTATTATCTATACGAATGGAACATGATTTTTTAATTTTTAATTTTATGGATTGAGTGTAGAAAGATAACTAAGCATTAAACATTAGTAAAAAATAATAAAATTGTTGTATATGTATATATATATAAGGTGGTAATGGAGAAGTACTCTTGTGAGAAGAGAATTAAGGTGGGGTTTTGAAATGGGTACTTGTGTGGCATCCATGCTCTTGAATCTCATTACCATCCTCTGCACAGTGTCAGCTTGTTGTGCAGCAACAGCTGAGGTACGAAGCAAACCCTTCAAAAGGGTCTTCGCCTTTGGTGACTCCTTCACGGACACAGGCAACACCAAGAACGCCGAAGGACCAAGTGGCTTTGGCCACGTCTCAAACTCTCCCTACGGCACCACCTTCTTCAACCACTCCACCAACCGATACTCCGATGGAAGACTCGTCATTGACTTCGTCGCTGAAGCCCTGTCACTGCCCTACTTGCCCCCCTACCGCCACATCAGAGGCAACGACACTTTCGGTGTCAACTTCGCCGTTGCTGGCTCCACCGCCATAAACCACTTGTTCTTTGTCAGGAACAACCTCTCCCTTGACATCACTCCTCAGTCCATCCAGACCCAGATCATATGGTTTAACCGCTACCTCCAGAGCCAGGAATGTCAAGAAGCAAAGTGCAATGATTTTGATGACACTTTGTTCTGGTTTGGGGAGATTGGAGTCAATGACTATGCCTACACCCTTGGATCTTCTGTCCCTGACGACACCATAAGGAAGCTTGCCATCAGCAGTGTCTCAGGAGCTTTACAGGTAATAACACAACACCCACAAAACTTAGATACCGTTTCATAACTACTTTTGCTATTTTTTTAGAGTAATTCACATTATTCTTTAATCAAAGTTTAAGTTTTAACTTAGTAATCCATATAACTCTCTTATTAGAATTAAAGTTTTAACTCAATGATATAGATAAAAATAGTTTTAACTCTGTAATTCACATAATTCTCTGATTATAATTAGAATTTTAACTCAATAATTCAAGTGATAGGATTAGAATTTTAACTCATAATCTAGGTAGTAAAGGTTTATACGTGTATTAAAGATTTTCGCTTCTGATAAGAGAGCAATACTAAAAGCATTTATGGTACTACATTTGCTGGATTATTGTCCTAATTGGTCATTTCTACCAAGTAGTTAAAACTCAAAAAACTTGCAATTTTTGTGCAGTGATCATCTTATCCCAGTTTTCATTCTCAATCTGTTTTGCAGGCATTGCTTGAGAAGGGTGCCAAGTACCTAGTGGTGCAGGGTTTGCCTCTAACTGGGTGTTTGACATTGTCCATGTATCTGGCTCCTCCTGATAATAGAGATGAGATTGGATGTGTGAGAAGTGTGAACAACCAAAGCTACCACCACAACCTTGTGCTGCAAGCCAAATTAGATGAATTCAGGAAACAGTACCCCCAAGCTGTCATACTTTATGCTGATTACTACAACGCCTACCGCACTGTCATGAAGGATCCAAGCAAATATGGATTCAAAGAGGTCTTCGACGTTTGCTGTGGATCAGGGGAACCACCTTACAACTTCAGTGTGTTTGCCACGTGTGGCACACCTAACGCCACTGTCTGCGGAAACCCTTCTCAGTACATCAATTGGGATGGTGTTCACCTCACTGAGGCCATGTATAAAGCTATTTCGAATATGTTTCTGCAAGGAAACTACACCCAACCTCCCTTTGATTTTTTGTTGGGAAAAAAAGAGAGGGTGGGGTGAATGGTTCAACCAGGAATAATGTTTGGGACATACTTGTCCTTATCACTTTAATGAATCTGCTATTGCAGTAACTATAAGTGAGGGAACCGGATTTTATTTGTGTTTGCTAGAACATGTGTCTACTGCCCCATGTAAGAGAAGTTGAAAGGAATGTAGTTCTGTTTATATAATCTGTCATGGTTATATTAAACTAGGCTGCAATTTGTGCTTGTTTAGATGATTTTGGTTTTGGGTTAATAAATGTTTCTTTTTTATTTATATATATCTTATCTAGGAACTTGAAATTGAAAAAATAAAAAAATTGTGGCTGAAAATGTGAGGAAAATTTGTTGGAAAATTAGTCTATGATTTCGGATCATGGAAGCAGTTTTCCACATTCTAGCATTTGCATCAAAGGTTCATTTGACGTATTTTTTTGCTTGGGGGAAACAGCTTTATTTCCATACATATACAATGTCCTCAAAACAATTAGTCTCTCTACTTTAATTTCTAAGCAGTACTTCCTTCGAGAAAAAAAAAAAAAACAGTAGTACTCTATAAAATTTAATAATTATCTAATTCATCATTATTAAAAAATTTAATTTAATTAATATTGTTAAATTCATCTTAAATTTATGTGTTCTCTTTCTAACATATTGAGACATTCTTATTTTTAAATATTTTTAAATCTCTTTGATCATTAGTATATTTCTTGTGTTAAGTTTAACCGTTGACTATGAATTTGAACAGACAATAAAATTTTCAAAATTCTGTCTTAGAGACCCGAGACGTTAATACTGTGGAGTATATGTTATCATCTATTTATTGAAATTGAGAAAAAAATAATCATAATTAAGGATCACATGAAACTTATAGTTTGTTTATTTTAAAAAGGATAAGAAGAAATAAAAGTTAAATACGCAGTATCTTTTTATTTTTAAATTGGCCTTTACTAAAATTTGATATAAATATAAAAATAAATCATTAAAAATAACATCTCAGTTAAATCAGGAGCATTTTAGAAATAATATAATTAAATTAAATTAAATTTATTTATGTTTTAATAGATAAAATTCTTATATTTCAGTTGAAAAGAACTTGTAATTTTTTTTAATACATCATAGTGACAGTACGAAATTCAAACTTACTATATGTAAATACTTGACACAAAAATTATTGGTTAAACTATTTTAAAATATGAAAATTTAGTTCTTCAATTATAAAAATATAAAATTTTAGTTTTATGATTGATCATTAAATTTTGATATCGTTTAATAATTTATTATCATTTAAGCGATATAATATTTTAAAAAAATAATATATAAGGAATTTTTAAAAATAATTTAAATAACATAAGATTTTTTTATTTGTAAAGCTATTTTAATAAATGATTAACATTTATTTTATTAATAAATTTTATTTATATATTTTTTTTTAATTGTCGAATGTTATATTATTAAATGTCATATTACTTAAACAAAAATAAATATTAAAATTTAAGAATTAATAAATGAATTTGATTAGAAAAAGTGAAATTTTAAATTTTTAAAATTTAAAAACTAAATATTTTTCTTTTACATTAAAAGAATAAAATTATATATTTAAAAAAGTTAAAAATATAATTGAACCTAAATTATTTACTTTTGATTTCTGACAATCTTATGAGTAGTATGTAACTATTCCTTGGGAAAGTACTATACTGATTGGAGTATTCGAAAACCGACAGATGGTGAATAGATTGAAATAAAGTCAGAACTTGTATTGGTAGCGGAGGAAAATAAATTGAATGGAAACATTACTTCTTCCGAATTAATTAGGGTAGATCTCTTGGAACCGGTGAAAGGTACTGTACTACAGTATTAATTTATTAAACGATGGAGGAATCTAGAACAGCAGAGTATTAATTCATGCTAGTATTAGTGAGTATCACTTTGATGCGTTCCAACTTCCAAGTCTGCATGTTTCCAGAACATGATCAAGATTTAATTAGCACATGCTGGTGGTTGTGGACAGTTACCTCTTCTTTCTCCCTCTAGAACACATAAAACCCAAAATCATAAAGTAGTGGTAACAAATTGGACAACCTTTAATGCTAACCTAAGTCTACGGCCATGAAAAAGATTGGCACATGAATACTCGTGCACCCTCCCGTCTAGTATGATAATTGGTCATTTGCCAAAACAGGCTCGGTAGTTTTGAAAAGTCCTGTGTAGTACTCATAAAGCAATAAGGGTTTTATTGCAATCATTCAAATTCCACTGCCTAATAATACAGCAACATCTTGTGATATCAGTTAAAATTTAAAAATACATACTGTACTGTACTTCCTCCGTCTCGCAATAATGTGGTATTACTATACTACATGATAATCCTCGTTTTAAACAGAAAATTAAATTTTAAAATAAGTATTATTTTAGTTTTTTATGATAATATTTATAGTACATAGGCTAGTACCTCACAAGTACTGGTTCTGAAATGGTAAATATACATGTCTCGCTTTATTAAGTAATCGTCCAACTTGTTTCCAATAGAAATATAAAGATTTTCTCTTTCCTCTCCACTCCACAACCATACAAGGAAGATGTTAAAAAATGCATATGAAATTTCTACTTAAAACAAGGGTCACCTCATTTTTTCTTGTGGTATCTTGATAAACCCAGTAGATAGTATTATTTCACGCAAGTGTGTAATAATTGAGTGAAGGAGATTAGGAGAAATTTTGACCAAATTCATTCTATAAACAGATAGCTACCAATATTGTATCTTCAATTAAAATAAGTACTCGTAATACCCAAGAAAAAGAGCATCTGGGGTATATTGGGGAAGGTTGTTTACAAAGAGATAGAGACGCAACATATCTTCTCTATATATGGTTTGCATATCAATCACATCTCTACTGCATGTTAGAACCCACAAATCCCCCGATTTAACTCTCTTTAAACTTCTCCGGCAAAATGGACAAGACTCTGACCTTGTTTTCCTGTATCATAAAGTCATAAAAACATGTATTAACTGCTAGTAAGAATATATAACTCCATATTCTTCTATTAACAATTGCAGGTTAACGTGGTTAATTATGATTACCAGTCATTGTAACAATTTATACACATGGCGTGGCAGCAATTAGGCAAAACCATTTTGGTGCAGGACTCTAAGCAAATGCCACACTCAATTTCTCTCTCCAAGTCAAAATCAGAAGTATTCCTCTTATCCTCCTCATTCCCCTTGATAACCATCTCCATGTTGTGATCTTTTGCTCGAGTAATGTCAGCTTCTACTAAATCACCATGAAGACGCTGTAGAGAAGGTAATATAACATCTGCATTTGTAGATTAATGAATGCAACTAGTTAGGCTAAAAACAAACTATTAAATGTACTTATCAAAATGGAAAGAAAACAACAATGCAATAATTGGATCAATATTGGCACACAATAAGTGGAAGTGTGGAAGAAAGGGTTGGTACTTGTTAATTACTTACTGTAGAACTCGCTTACAGTTGCTTTTCTTCCACAAGAATAAGTATCTGGCTTCGCATTGGTATGCACCTAAGACAGAGAGCAAATTCAATTAAAAATTGAAGAAAGAAGACAACAGAATTAATTCAGCGTGGAAAAGAAACAAGGGTACAGACAATAATTAATTAACCTTGTAGACAACTACACGAAAAAGATTAAAATGAGTTGAAGGTAGACAGGAGCATGAGAAATCCATCCATTGAAATAGAAAGAGAAAAAGAGGTGCCACTTTATTGTAGACCAACTTCATTTGAAGGCAAGTCCTGCCCTTGTCCCTTGGAATAGAAGCTGCCCTGCATGAGGTTTAAATTTTAAACCATAATATTAGTTAGACCGAACTTAGGTACAGTTCAAATGTAGTTGATGCATTTTCGATCAGAATTGAAATTTTACTTGATAATATACATGATAACATTAATATACATTTACTTATATTATTGAGGTAAAACTCAAGTTTTAATCGAAAAATCATACTAACTACACATTAAAAAACTGAATTTAAATTTTATAGTAAATCCTAATCCAATCATCTCAACATTAATGATAAATGTACAAGTATGGTCATGTCTAACCTAGCATGCAAATGCAGGTAAAGTAACTTAAAATGATAAAATGGATGCATTGCTTCAAGAACTCACAGCACATTGGCATGTTGGATGTCAGCTTCAAGTGCCTTGAGGGAGTCACGGAAAGAGGGTGTTGAATGAATCATTTGGTAACGCAACATGGTTCAAAGGGGAAGCAGAGATGAAAAGAGAGGGAGGAAGGTGGAGAATAAATGGGGGTGAGAGGAAACACAACATAAAAAATGCCATGGAAATTTGTTGGGAGTTGAGTTGACCAAAAACAAGCAGAGAAATGGTCTTTTGAACATTGGAGACGCTCAGAGGTGTTTTGTTGACCACCAGCACTCCACAAATCTAGAATCATCAATTGCTCGTTGCCTTCTTGTTAGCTTACCTACAAATTTTGAATACAACAAATTTAGGTAAAATTAGGATGGTCCACCAATTAAAATTGAAATTTTATTTTATTAATAGATACAGATCTTATTAATATACACTTACATATGTCATTTAGATAAAATGTTAATTTTTGATTAAAGAATAATACCTATCACATCTAAGAAATTATATCTAGATTTTATTATTTTCAATATAATCAAGTAATTTAAATGTTTCTTTTCTTTTTATAAGCAAATTTTCATTGATGGTATAAATGTTTAAATCAAGCATAAATTGTGTCAAACTGCTGTTGATTTGTTTAGTAATGAAGAAAATCACTACCGTGCATTTTAAATAGTTTAACTGAATTAAAGTAGTTTTTTTTTAATTTAATTAATAATATTAAATTTATTAAAAATATGTTTTTTAAATTATTGAGATTTGTAGTAGTATTTTTTTTATTTAACTATTTTTTTACTAAGTCAGTTAATGTACGTATGACTAATAATCTTTTCCAACTCTCTCGATAGAGAGAATGTTTACTTATTGATAATTAATTAATACTATAATTGAAAGGAATAGGGAAGCAAAGTATAAAAATATATTACTTTTATTTTTTTAGGATATTTGTATTAGAAATATATAATATTGTTTTTTTACACAATTAAGTAAGATAAAATTAAATATTTATCTTTCTTTTTTCCTATTAATCACCTTAAAATTTATTTTTTTTCTTACTTTTTTTCTTCTATACCAAATATACTCTATATGTACTTTGAACAATAATATTTTTAAAAGCATATACATGTAAACAAAAAAATTAAAGTATCATTAGAAAGAAATATTTTTTGTTTTTGGATTTTATAAAGTGAAAAGTTATATCTTCAGCCCAATAATTTATTACTTTATATCTAAACTTGCAATTGCATTACTAGTAGACATGTTTGACTTATCTAGTTTCCCGTGTTTAGCTGTTAACTTGTTATTGTTGGCAGTTGATACACTTATTTAATGCTCTCTATTACTAATACTAGTATTTATTTCTGTTGGGGAAGGGACAGGGAATTTTCTAACAGCTTGTTTTTTCTTCTTTTTTTTTTGGGTAAAATTCTAACAGCTTGTTTAATAAGAAAGGTGAAATTAGAAAGAAAAATAATGAATACTCTTTTATACTTATTTACATGAATAAAGAAGATAAATTTTTATTAGTGTATATTTTTTGAGAAAATAGGTGATGTAATGATATATCCAATCTCAAACTATTATTTGTGATAAGATGTTGACTTTTATAATTAATACATAAAAAAATTAAATTAATAGTGATTTGTGATTAGTTTAAGATGTAAAATTATTTTATATATCAGCTCATAAATTTTTTAATATTTTTTCTCCTTCTAGTAGAACCTTCTCTTGAGCAGCCGAGTTAACGGAGCACCTGAACAACTGTCATCTTTCTTGTCCTTCTCTGAAAGGAACTTTGGGCCTTTAGCATTCAAGTTTCTCCGGCTTTTACTTGGACTGCTATTCATAAAGTTTTGGGCTTATGTCTTTGGTTTTGGGCTTGTACAATTTGATCCGTTAGATTAGTTGGCCTATGTTATTCAGAATAACTTATTCTCACATTAACAAAAATACCTTATGACAGAAATATATTTCAGTTTATGCCGTATACCGTGAATTCACACAAATTTAATCAACTCAAATTTGAATGAATGTTCAAATGACTCGACTATTTAAAATGTCTTAATTCAACTTGTAAGATTTAAACTAACATCTTCTCAAAGGAGATTTATGTATATTCTTAAAATATATATTCTTGTTCAAATAGAGATAGAATTAGGTTAAACTTTAAATAGAGATTTATAACCTGATCTCTTTAAAGTTTGATCTGACTTGTTTAATAAAAAGGTGAAGTTTAGATTCTTAAAAAAATTTATTTATATAAAAGATTAGACTTAGACTTATAAAAAAGTATGTTAAGCATGATAGGTCAATGTATTTATTTATATAATATAATAAAAAATTAATATATATTATTAAAAATATAAATAAATAAATAAACAAACTTATAAAATAAAAATAAATTATCAATACTTAAAATATTTTCTTCGTTATTATAAGTTTACGACTTGTATATGAATGTACATCACATAGATTATGCATGAATTGGTCTTTCAAAAAAAATGATCTAATTTTTCTCCTATATTTTTTTAAAAATTTAATTTTTTAATAATATTGAGTGAATTTAAAAATAATTTTATTAACTTTTAAAAATTAAGTTCATTGATCTAATTAATATTAATAAATAGGTTAATAGATCAAATCAGATTTTAAAAATATTAAGACTTATTAAAAAAATTTATGATAAATAATAGATTAGACTTAATACTCTATTCATATTATATTCTATTATTTTTATTTATTCTATTATATAAGAATAAGATAAGATTAATTAAGAATAAAATTTTACAGAACAAACTCAACTTATATATTCAAATTTTGACTTAACTTATTCTTGTCATCTCAAATATTAATAAAGATTATTTGAACAAAAATATAAAATATAAAATATTACATTAATTAAGAAAATTAATTAGCATTATTTAATTCTGTACCAATTTTTTTTTGTTGAAAATATGCTTCAAATAAATTTAATATGAAGAACAATAAAAATTCATCAAAAATAGATTATTCATTTAAATGAAAATATTAGGGAGTACATATTTTTCTTTGAAAAAAATCATAGTTTATATATATATATATATATATTCATATATATAAATGCAATGTAATTAAGAATATCCTTAAAACGAAGAAAATACAATTTATTGAACTGAATTATTTAAAATGAAAAATTATTTGCTATCACATTTGAAAAAATAAAAGTAGAATAATTAGGGTTTTGTTGTATTAATATTTTCTAATTAACATCAACAGTTAGTCGAATTTGAAGAGCTCCGTGGCTGTGTTGTGTAACTTGCAAGTTGAGCTTGACATCGTTTTGTTGCGACTTAATTATAAAGTATATGCGATAAATAAATTATAAATTAACGGAAAAAAGTAGAAGAGTGTATTTGGAGGAAACGGAAGCAAAAGCAGAAGCCATAGATAGCCGCAGCCATGGAAGGAGAAGAGGGGTCTCAGCAGCCACAGTTGGTGCTCGCCGACAAGCTATTCCTCCTCCGACAACCCGATGTGCAAGACATTGACAAAGTTCGCTACAAAGAGGATGTTTTCACTCACGTTAAGGAAAACGGTAACTCTCTCTCTCCCCCTTTCGATCTTTCTCTTCTCAAACATGTTTTCACTCTCCTTTCTGCGCAGATATGGTGCCTTTGTACGAAACCCTAATAGCAGACTCTGTGTTGGACATGGATCGTGCCCTTTTGGACTCCATGCGCGCTAAAATTGACGAAGAGCTCAACAAGCTCGACGAAAAGTGAGTTTCTCTCTCTTCCTCCCTCCCCTTACCCACGATGTCTGCGCCCAACACCATTTGGAGTTTCGGATTTGAAATTTAGTAGGTTAAATGAGGAGTGTTCGTGAATCTGAAGGAAGAGTGATATGTAATCCTAATATAATAGTTTTATTTTTCAACTAAACCACCGTCTTACATAGATTTGCTTATTTGAATTATGCTAGTGTGTTTTGGTTCGTCCTTGTATCTAAGGATACATCTTTTGGTTGTGGTTCTTTCAGTATTAGTTTTATTGTGATTTATGTTGTTATCGTCGTCGTGTTTATCGTCAGTTGGGTTGTAGTCTGCAACTAGGTAATGGAATTAGAAGACGTAGATGCTGATTGTCTGGTACTAAGGTATGTTTGAAGTTGTGAATCCGTCTAACCGTGTTTCTCCTACACAAGTATCTCTAGACTTAAATTTCCCCCCTCTCTGCAAAGTTATCGGTGTTACTCTAATTTTTTTTTTTTTTGGTAAAAGCGGTTCTTGTATTGAATTCAATATGAAAACTTGAGTATTGTGATGGATTTTTGAGAGTTGGAAATTGGGGGAAAGAATTTGTTATCATAGTCTTGGTTGGAGGAAGAAATAAATTGAAAGTTGGAGATATGGGGATCAAGGTTTTAAATCGCAGTCGTGATTGTGTCATGATCCTTGACATTGTGGGAAATTGTGACTGATGTGGCTGCAATTGTGGTCGTAGAGACCTCAAAAACCTTAAGTTGCAATTGAAATTGTGGTCCCTGACCATTTTTTAAAACCTTGATGGGGATGACTAGCCTTGGAAACACATTACTTTCACCTAAGTGGAAGAAAGCATAGTATGTGGAATGCAAGTTTAGCAAAACCACAAGAGATGCAATAGCTGTAACTTGGAGGTAATTATTGGGGAACATACCATATGAGAAGTCACACGCTTTAATTATCTTGGGTATATCTTATGAAGTGATGAGAAGATAGAGATTGATGTCAATCATGGGATCCAACAGGATGGATGAAATGGAGGAATGCTATATCAAATGTCATATGTAATAGAAAACTACCACACAAGCTCTAAGAAAAATTTCACTGTAAACTATAAGACTTGTATGCTATATCATATTGAGTGTTGGATGATAAAGAGTCAACAAGAAAGTAAGCTTAATGCCTCAAAAATGGGAATATAACAATGGATGAGTGGGTACTCAAGATAAGATAGGATTAGGAATACAATCACTAGATAGAAAGTGGGGGTAGCTTCCATTGTAGAAAAAAATGGTGAAGTCTCCTCTTTAGATGGTTTGGGTGTGTGTGGAGAAAACCTGCAAAAGCACCAGTAAAGGAGGGTGACCATGGAAGATAGTCCAAAAATTAGAGGTAGAGGGGCACCAAAGTAAACTATAGGTCAAAGGAACTTGGAGGTAACTGGTCTATCTTTGCACTTAACATAGGAGAGAAGTCTGTTGCATCATATGATAATGATCCATGTACTTGACCCTTCCTAATGAGAAGAAGGCTTA